AGTCTTTGCATGCACATATACACAGTTTGAATATGTCTGTCATGGCTGTAAAAACAGATCAACAATATGCAAGTGCTTAACCACTCAACAGGAAAAACAAAACAGAAATGCTATCTCTATTTCTAAACAAGTCACAAGAACTGCAATGTAATGTCATTGCCACGACTCTAAAGAGTGACAAAGCAGTATGTGTGGCAGGTCTTTGTTGTCAGACGAGATATTTTTATTACCTTCCAGCAAACAAATGAGCCTCATCTTCAATAAACTGTGGAGGTGGTTGTACAATACAGTGGTAAGTTAACATAACTCAGTGACAGCAAACCTACCTCACTCACAGGCTTTAAAGCCTCTTCTGCATTATTTAGGTCCACATTCCACACACAGACAATTTAGAAATAATTTCAGATATAAACAATTTAACTACAACTTTAAAACTGATTGACTGCTTTTTCCTGTGTTTCAGATAGCTGAAAGACACAATGTGAGGAGATGGCTACAGTGTGACAGTACCCATGGCCAAACCTTAATATAAAGACTCCTCACTTTATGGGTGATAGCTCAAGCCAAAGTACATCACATTCTTTGCATTAATATGCGATAATTTCAGAAAAATGTAGATAAAAAAAAAAAACTTTGTGAAACTCAGCGTCTGGGTTTGTTCATATGGCGGCACCTTGCCAGCTGTAGAGCCAAAAATGCATCTCGCATGTGGAGCGGCTTAAAAAGCAAACTGAAGAATGAGCTGTCTGCTTCTTGCCAACTCTTTGAGAATGTTGCTTTGTGCGGTTATCATTAACAATAGATATTAATATACTGTGAACCCACAGTAGAATGCATAGAAACTAAAAGCAATACATATGGAGGAAAGGTGGTGTTGGTGGTAAGATTTAAATACAGCAAGTGTTTCTGGTTGTCATCTGCTTCGTGTCTGCACGTTAACTTATCAATTCACTTTATGTACAGACAACAAGCAAAATACCTGGAAGCAAACATGAACAACTGTCTTAACTAATAACAAAATATACACAACAGCCTGCAAAACCTTTATGAACTATCCATCACTGATAATATGCTATCTGTTTGCAATGTTGAACCTTACACATGATTTCTGTACTTTTTCTGCATATAATTTCAACCACATATCTATAGAACATTTTTTGCATCAATTATAGTTTATGAAATCATATTTTGTGCCTTGTTTGAATTCTTTTCTATATCGCATTAAGTTGTTGTGTTTGGAACCTTAATTCTGTAATTCATTAACCACGTTCCACTTCACATCTCTATTTAGTCTGCCTTCTGCTCATTGGATACTGAGAAAGGCTCCAATCCCATGAGACCCTAAATACACCTATATCTGTATTCACGCAGTCAGTTGTATGGCATGGTTTCGGTCTGTGGAGCCGAATCCTCATTTCCTAACTGATTTTTTGGCTACTTGGGAGCTACAAAAACAAGTTATAAACACAACACTGACATAACAGCACCTTTTAACTTGATATGGCGAAGATGCTAGCAAAAACCTGTTAATTTACATGCCCAGCAGACATGAGGTACACTTGCTAAGACAATTTCTCAACTAAGACTGCTCCCATCTTTTCTTTATGTACCTCTTCAACCAGAGCTGGATCACGCTGTGTTATAGCTGGATCATCTGAGAAAGAGTGAATACATTCTCAGAAGTAAAAATAAGAGTGAGTCTAAATATGTGACGAGCACAGCAGACATCTGTTTGGCTTTGTTTAACTTCACGCTGATATATTTTATACATTAAAGCTGCAGCTCGAGGTATGCAAAGTGCACATTCTGCCTTGTATATGGTATCACATAAGTGGTGTTTGAGGCATACATAAATTGTCACTCTTTTTTGCTCTCACTTTTTCCTCTTCACACACACAGACACACACACACACACACACACACACACACACACACACACACACACACACACACACACACACACACACACACACACACACACACACACACAAAAACAAACACACATATACATACATACACACACATGCAGCCTAATGTGCATATACACAAACAGGAATACATACAGTATACAGTCCTGCCTGTGCTGTTCAGTCTCATTCTGTGTTTATGCTGAACAGTAAACAGACCATCCATTAAACTGTAATGAGGTAAAAGAGGAACAGTGGATGGTAGAGGACTTAGTATTGTTTCCATATGAAAGTGAAATCTTTGGATCAAGAAAGTGAATTTCACCTTTTTGGCCTGTGAGGACTTCTACTGCCTCACATATGTTATAGTCAGTCCAAACTTCTGTTTCTGTAACTTCTTTCACATATAAAAGGCACATATACAAACAGGTGTGTAACTATTTTCAATATTAATTACTGGTACTTGCATGTCCTCATCAAAGCATTACAAAACCACATGTGTTTATGAATTCCATGCTCTCATCAGGCATGTCAGATTGTTGCTGCCGACTCCCACTGTGGTCTCACACATCAACAGAATGAGGAACCGCCAGAAGACAGACAGGCAGGCTAAGAAGTGGACAAGCCAAAGCCTGAGTACCAAAAGCGATTTATTGAGACTTATATGCATGAAGGGAATCAGAAAGCATTGCCCGCTGACAGTAAACCAACATGTTTTTTCTTCTTGTGGTTGAGAGCTTCTTACTGTTTTCTAATTAGTTGCACAACCATCCTTTGGCTGCTCTGAGAGGACATGTGTTTGTCCTAAACAAAGCTGATGTGGCTGCTGAAGTATTTAACTCTTCAAGGGACTATAAATAAATCTAGACCTGTTATGTATGTATAAATATATGTTTTTATATATATGATAGTTCTAGATTTCACATTAGCCTATTTTTGTTGTATTGATTTACAGTGGCCATAATACACATCTATCACTCAAACTTCTTTAAAAGAAACATTCACTGTCATATAAAATGTGTCCTTACCTTTTCTGTCTCTTTCACACATGGAAGCATCATAACGTGTGTAAATGCTAAGAAGCTCATGGGTCAGTCTATAAGTAACCCCTTGTACACGTGATGCTGCCTGCACTGCCTCTGCATACATTAGCTGCACTTCCTGTATAATCAGGAAGTACTTTTAACTTAACTACCATTTCTGGTAAAGCAAAGTGAGGTTTACTCTTCTAACCATGCTCATGTCTGCAGTGCTTTGCAGCTTATGACCACAGCAGACTTCACTTCTCACCATCAGCGACTCACACCTACATATATGTAATATTGATTGACGTCACCTTTCTTACTCTTCTGTTAGTTTTGTTGCACCTGTCAGGAGAGGGATATTTTTTACTATCAGAGGCTTGCTCCAACTTTTAAATTGAGGCTTAAAACTTTTCTCTTTACTTTTTAACAATTTATTCCTATCTTGCATTTTATTGTAACCACAATTTATTTTGTATTCTCTTGTTTATTCTCTTTTAAATGTAGCTTATTTTAATTTTATATCTATTAAATTCTATTGGGTATATAATATATGTGTGTATTGTTATAAAACTAAAGCAGTGTAATAGAGACAGTAATGTTCCTGCAATTAATCCTGCATTCATGAAGGCTGTAATGTTTGAATCTGTTGAAACGTAGAGAGGTGTTTATTAAACATTATGATCATTTGGAGGCTGCAGTTTGTGTTGTTGTGTTGAATGTTTAGATATATGTATATGTTGGGCTTTGTGTTCTAGTGCCACTTATTGTTTAAAATCAAAGTAATATATTTTCAGCTATAAAGAAAAGCTCAATTAAATTAGGATTTCAAACAAGTAGCCCTTTGAAAATTCACAAGAAATGTAATATTTATACTTGAATAAGGGTAAAATGGGGGTATGGGTAAAGTCTGCTTAGACAAGAGGGTAATCAAATTTTCACATGACAATGACATAATATTCTACTTACATGAAAATGGCGGGCAATGTCCTTATAGCACAGTGTTGTGGCCAAACAGAGCAAGAAATATCGCCCCTATAAATAGTGCAGATATTAAAAGTCTGTGAAGTACCATAGTGTGAACAGAGTTGAACTTCTCTGTCTTATAGTCATAGTTGTCATGTGTCGTCTCACTTTAGCCTCAGCGAGTAAATTAGTAACTATGTCTAAGTGCGACCCTGCTATCACCTGCTGTGCATGCATGTGTGTTCACGATACAGTCTCAGCCCTTCAGCAGTCCTTTTAGAAGATTATCAACTTAATATATTCATCATGTGATAAACATTTCTGAATGATTCATAACAAACTACCGTAGAAGGTGGAGGATTTATGTACTTCCTTGCTTATATTCAGGGTGTGTGTGCGTGTGTGTGAGTGTATGTGTGTGTGTGTGAGAGAGAGTGAATGAGAGAGTTAGATTTTTCCATGAAAATAAGATGGGGAAACGTTTAAGTGTTTCTAATGTGGGTTAAAGCTTTTAATCAAAGCCATGTGAGGTCAAGGAAGGGAAATGAGAGTGGTAATAAAGTGTAATAAAGTTTACATTTTACAGGCAGACATTTTAGAGACAGGTTTGGCTCCAAGTTTACTATATCACAGAGCTGAGTTTTAAAAGTCCTACCACTGCACCCTAATCCAGTACTACAGAAGAGATCAAAGCTTTGATGCCATATAAAGCGGAGATTTTAATTCTGACAGGGCTTGTTAAAAACCCACAGGGCTGATCCTGTCATCAAAATGAATGGCAAAAGAAAAGGAAAGGAAGTTAGAAAGAAATAGCTATTTGCCCTTTGAATAATATAGTTACATGTGAAAAACTCTATAAACTGAAACTCCACTGGACCATTTGGAGCCTGGCATGAAGTTCTGGTAACTGTGTAAACTGCTTAGAAATGACCCACTGGAGTGTGTGAATAAAAATAACATTAGAATTCTCCAAATATCTACCACATGCACAGCTTCAATAGGAATGGAGTGACTCGGCACAGTGGTATGTCCGGGAAAGCTACGGGTTAATTTAAGACTAGGAGCAAAGCCTGTTGCCAATTAAGAGCAGTGAGCGCCACATGTGGGCTAGACGTAGCTATCTCCAGAAGGGGCAAAGGGGGCAGAAACCGCGGTGTGCGCAATGGAGACAAGCTGAATGTTTGTGCAGTCACTTGCCAGTTACATCTATGGACACTTACTGATTTGAGGGATTGTTTGTTAAGAGATGGTCAAACAGGATCTACTGGGCTGAAGGATTGATGCGTAAAAAGGACCATTCTACAGTGGCACGTTAACATTTTTACCTTTCAGCATTGCAACATGGCACGTATCCCTACCATAGTTTTGCTATGTGTAACATCTATACTGAGCGGCGCAGAGTGCGTATCTGAGACCTGCCGGGGGACGCGCTGCTTCACTGGACAGGACTGGAGGAGACAGTGCGTCGGAGCGCACTGCCAAGGGCGCACGGAGGCAGTAGCGTCCCCACGGCAGTTTCAACACGCTGCACAATCCAGACAAGGACAAGTCTACCCGAGTTACCAACAGGATGCTCATTTTAGTCATCACCAAGCCCAAAGCGCGCCGTTAGCACCGTACACCGTCATCCAACCTCACCAGGGAGGCTTTGCGCAACACGCGGGCACGGATGGCACCAGAAGGACGAACCCGAGAACCATCACGGCGGAGGTGTTCCATCCTGGCTGCGCCGGTGGGACCTGTCCGACCACTGTCTCACATCACCCGACGAGTGATGACAGTGTAACACGGGAGTGCAAAGGGATTGGATGTAAACTTCCCCTCCGGATGCGCCAGAAGCCCAAGCCTTGCGTCGGAGACGGATGCGGTACGCATGGAGGGGACGACGGGAGAGGAAACTCCTCACCTGTTCATGTGACAGACAGGGCGGCCCAATTTCTGGATGAGCTTCCAGACTTTGGGTCTGAACGTGGTGCGTGGATACAGTTGACATGTGACATGAAACCAGGTCAGTATCAGTCTAATCGAATTTAAACTGCAGCCGTCTCAGTGGTGAAATGATAAGCACTTAAATTGTTATATAATAGTTGTCTTTCTTTGCCACAGGGACTAATGAGGTTCCTTCAGAGGACGCTCTTGTGCTGCAGCTGCAGCTGTCTAAGAGCCAAGAGAAGCTCGTTGAAGCCCTCAGGGGCCAGCAGGATGAGGTCAGGGAGCTGCAGAGGCTCCTCAGTGAGCAGCAGGGGACGATGGTCAACCAGCAGAGAGAAATACTGGAGCAACAGAGGAGGATGTATGAACAGATGGAACAGGTAAGATGGCTGTGATTACTCATGGTGATTGATAAATTGTTATTAGTTCATGGTTTTGTTAATGGTCCATGATTAGAGACACATTAAACATTTATTTAGATGAGGTGGATGGAAAACACCTGACCTGCAGAAGTTTTATTTTGATAATGCTGACCTCTGACCCCTGTGGAAGATTTGTTCCATATGGGGATCAGAGGAAGAAAATGTTGTGTATAAGCTGAAATGAGTACAGTTAAGCACTAGCTGAATAACCAGTAGCTGCACAGAATAATCTTTTTGTAATTTAATTTGTGTATTTATATCATAAGTCATGATGATTATTTGTATTATCACACAAAACATGCTTGTACCTTTTCTGCTTTCAGGTTAAAGCCCAGTACAATGTACTGATGGACAGCGTCAAACAAACGTCTTTCCAGAACCTCCAGGGGGGGCTAGACAGTCACATGGAAACCTTGAGTGGGCAGGTTAGAACCCACCAAGCACAGCAGGCTCTCTCTCTGCACAAGGTGGACATGGAGGCCAGCGTGATGGAGGTGAGCTGCAAGTTGAAACAAGAATCAGGGGTGTACAAGTGTGTTCAAAATGTAAAAACAACAACCTGACAGTCAGTATTATGTTTCCATGTTCAGAGAACCAACTAGTTTTTAAGTAAAGGCAGAATGATAGAAGTTCTACTCAGTTCTCTCAACTGGCATATATTAAATGGACTGGTCAAGTAAATAAGACACCTGCTTAGCTACTCTACCCTGTCCTCTATATGATGTTGGGACCTGACTGAAGTTCAGGTAATTTCTGATCATCACACTGACGTGTTTGATGCCATCAGGTTGGTCGCTCCCTGTTGGCCTGTGGAAGCTGTGGTCCTGACGAGTACTGTGGCTTCAGCAGCGGTCATCCTCGCTGTGAGAAATGTACCATCTGTCCTGCCGGCTTCTTCCTGGTCGCCCAGTGTTCAGTCCACGCAGACAGAATCTGCCAGGTCAGCACTACTGTCTTTTTACAGTATGACAGTTGAACTTTGACAAAACTTTGGTTTTGGTAGCTGGTTGCTTCTGTAACTGTGCCACTTGGTTTTGGGTAGGTAGAGTACAGTGGGTTTATCTGAGCTTTTTCAATGAAAACAGCTGGCTGCCACTGCCGAATACTCTGCTATGAGAGCAGTGAGACGTGAACCAAAACAGAAAAGTTGCAGGCCAGAAAACCAAAATAATGAACTGAAAGATGCTACAAAGCTCTGTAGAGCTGACTGAAACTACAGAGACTTTCGGTGGGTTCCCCACAATGAGCGATCTTTTTCTCATACAAAGTAGCCATACTTTACACAAAGCCAAGTGTTAATTATAGCTGGTTTAAAATGTATTCAAAGTGTTAATTTATTCATCATTACAGGACAGAGATGAATGCCTTGAAATAGCTGATCTGTGTGGAGATCAACAGAAGTGTCTCAATACTCCAGGTAACAGAGATCCTTTGTCAATATTGTCTGCATTTGATTACAACTCTAATTTATCTAAAACTGTACAATAACAAATCTTTCAACATTCCCTTTCCCTCTCTTCCATTTAAAATAAGTTTTGAACTAACTCAGCTCTTTTATCTCATCAGGTGGATTCAGGTGTCAGGGCATGACAGAGCGAGATGCGAACTCAGGAATGTGCAGCCATGGCTACTTCTACAACTCGGACATGGATGAGTGTCAGGCCTGTAATGAGTGTGATGGAGAGCCCGTGGCTTCACCTTGTACCTTCACCACAGACACCATCTGCTCTGGCCCTGCTGCTGGTGACAGCGCCCTCTCTCTTTCTTGGGCTGGAGATGTGAGCCTACCTGGCTCAAAAGGCCACATCCTTGCTCATGCCTTTCCTAGTGTGCAGCTTCACATCCAGGGAAGAGGCGATGCAGGTCTGGTGTCTGTTGAGGATGGACGCCTGGTGCTCAGGCAGCACGGTCTGGTCTGGCTGGATGAGAATCTCTCTGTGAGCCACGGCTGTCGTAGTTTCATCCAGGTGTGTCTGCGTATGAACACCACAGACGGCTCTGAAGGTCGTGACCTCAGTGGGGTTAGGGTTGAGCAGCAGGAGGGAAGGTCGCTACAGAGCGTGAGCATCAGCGGGGTAGCAGAGGTTGCCCCAGGTCACCTGATCTCCATCTTCGTCCGGAGTGCCAACCACCACTGTAACCAAAGCAGTGAAGGTCTGCAGCTGTACAACCCTTCAGCAGCTCCACTCAGTTTCTTCTGGCTCTCTCATGACACCGGGGCTGTTGCCATGACAGCACAGGCCATGGTATCTGCACACTACCATACAAACTATCGCCCGGTCTTCCGCACCACCTCCACCTCTGATCCTTACGTAGTGGGGCTGACTCATGATGGTCGTGGGATCCGTTTTGCAGAAAGTGGCACCATCCGTTTTGTGTTTCAGCAGGCGTTGTACTCCATGGGCCAGGCGTGTGTAAGCGAGGGCTTCCAGCTGTTGGTTTACCTCAACCATAATGGAACCGGTATGGAGCTGTGCCGTTCCTTTAAACCAGGGGTCCACTATCGAGACACATCCATTTCCCTGTCTGGAGCGGCTAAAGTTGGCCCTGGGGACACACTGGGCTTTGAGATTCTCTCTCCTGCTCAGTGCAACGTACGTTTCTTTGGTGACGAGACAGGAATCAGTACCCTCAGCTTGGTCTGGGTTCCTGCTGCTATCTCTTCCTCTCTGTCTGCCACCGTGGCCCACACTGGCCTTCCCTCAGGAGCAGTTCGAAACAAGCCACTGTTCTTCCGCCAGACCAGCGCTCAGGTGTCCCAGATGGGACTGCTAGGGAAGGCATCCACAGATCAGAGACGAGATTTTGTCTTCAGGGAGAGTGGCACAGCCAGTGTGGCTCTTGATCTCAAACTTATTCACTCCTGCAATCTGGTCAAGGTGACTCTTCTAAGGCGAAGTGATCCAGAAGGGTCAGGAGGAGGTCGGGAGGCAGAAGGAGTGCGACCCGTCCCTCTGGCCCAGCAGGTGGGTGGTCAGATGCCTGAAGGTAGTCATTGGGCCAGTGTGAGCCTGCGGGCGTCCTTCCATGTTCATAACAGCACAGCGGTGTTCTTCACGTTGGACTGTGTACGTGGACGGGTCAACCAGATTAGCCACCAAACAGGAAGTGGAGTGTCAATCCTCTGGGTGGCAGCATAACATATAAAAGACAAAGCTTTATGATGTTGTTTTTTATATGGTTTCCAGTTCAGTAGACCACTTATATGATGGACTAGTTTCATTGATTTGACTTTAAAGGACTGTTGTGTCTGACATTTGTTTTCTTGCCTTGAGTTAGATGAGGAGATTGATATCATTCTCATATCTGCCTGTTAAATATGCTTATCTTAGCATAAAGACTGGAAACAACAGGAAAAGGCTAGCCTAGCTTTGTCCAAATGTGATAAAATACACCTGTTAGCACCTGTAAAGCTCACAAAATAGTACTTCCTGGATGTAACTCAAGTCCTATGAGTACGTGCATAGCCCTCTACTTATTGTCGCCCATTGTCTGTGGGCACCCGAAGCTCTACGATTTAATGTCTTTACTGTAGAGAGACAAAACAAAAAAGGAGAGGGCTTGGAGAAGAGTGATAACAATAGGACTAAATGGTCCCCAGTTAGTGCTCCCATTAGCTGTTATGGGGAATATTTTCAAGTTGCAAAAAAATCCCCAAAATACTCCAGCTGCCAAATTCACGCGAGAAACGTCAGGCGAACATTAACTTTGCGTTTGGTTTAAAAAACATTAAAAGCAACAAGGTGTGGTTTTATGCCAGGCTAGCTGCTTCCCCTTGCCCCCTGCCTTTGTGCTAAGCTAAGCTAATCGTCTCTCCTGGCTGTAGTTTCATATTTAACAGACATATATGACAGTGGCATTGATCTTCTCATTTATTCTAACTCTGAATGAGCAAAGTTCCAAAACATTGAACTTTTCACTTAAGCTGCTTGATTTTATAGTGAGTAGCCTACAGCTAAACGCTCAAATATGGACTTTAATAAAATAAATGTAGCTTTATGCATCAACAACTGTATTTATATAATGCAAGTATTAGTACTGTGTAATGATTTTCGCAGAAGTACAAATGATGGGTCTAAACAACTGTATTCACCTTCTAATACTGTCGAGTTTTCTGCTTTTTTATGTTCAGAAATTCCATGTGCTGTACTTTGTCTGTCTTTTATTTATGTAATTCAGTTACTCTGTTTGACGCCAAAGGACCTTCAAATGATTCCCACTGTGAATACAGCCTTTTCTGCTGTCACAAGAAGAAGTTCACTGGTGCTGGTTTCATTCAGGAGTGTGTTTTTTAAGAGCATGTGTTTCCTGTTAGCTGCCATTTTCTAATGTGAATATCTAATGCATGCCTTGTTTAATGACCATATTGTTGTTGTTTAGGCCCTATTGACATTACGCTGTCCTGGAGAGACAGCATGCTATTTCAAATATCAACACCTTAAGATATAGTTATGCAAATCGTAATAAAGAGTATATTTGATGTTTTACATTAATTACAATAAAAAATAAAATAGTTTTGCTGGATTATTGTTTTGCTGCTGCCTATGTGTGAGGACTCTTGGTGTGACTAACTTTTGAATGGAGAAATAAATTTTTTCTGTCAAATAAATAAAACTTGAATTCTTAAGCATAAAACATACCCTAGCTCATTTTAAACACGGTACCGTCAGCCTAACCTGGTGTAGTAGCTAAATGTACGGTGGCTAATGTTAGCTCATATATTATATTTATTACATATTGCTGTGTAGCTGACATTCCTGAGTTAGTTGACTGCCTTTATGAGTCTTTTCTACTTGTGCTACTGTTACTGCTATTACATTTTGCTGCCCAGTTGGGCTTTTGTAGTTGTAGGTAGTAAGTATCCACAGCCTGTCCACAATTACAATAATATTTAGTAAACCTTCATATTTTTCTATTTATTTTCAGGTACATCAGGATTACAGTCACAACAATATCACGTAATGGGTAACAGATTATCAAAGTGTTTTTGTAATGGCAGGCATGCACTTGTTTTTTGTGCAGAGCATGTTTCATTCCTAATCTCCTGTATTAGAGACCGATAATCTTTCATGTACTAATCCTATACTGAGCTTTTCCCTATGTGCTGCAGTAAGAGACTGAACTGAACATGTTTGCTCTTGGCAGAAGCTGCCAGGTGTTTCCTATTACACATCAAAGAACAGAGGTCCTTTATCATGAATTTAAACAGTTGAAATTATATTAGCTGGGTAGTTAACCTCCTAATGGCCTTCCTACGCACGTCTACCGACAACCCTTCTCATTCTCAGAGAGCTGCTCTGCTTTGGCACAAGATCAAAAAGCATATTACGACACTGGGCATATGTTCTATGAAAACCAGTAGACCAGTTGATGTTATTATTTCAGCCTTTGAAGTCGTGACCTTCAGGTTAGTGTGTGCTATACATTATTCCATAAATCATGACTTTTAGGGGATTACTGCCATTAATATGCAGGTTTGTGTCTTGAAGGTGCTGGTATGAAGTCTTGGCGATCAAAAGAGTGCCGACTCAACCATATCCCACTGCAGACACCTAATTATCTCTAGTTCAAGGTTACTTGACCAGACTATGAATAAAGCTTTGGCAGTGCAGTTTATGAACTATGGCTAAATCGTGTGCACAACCTTTTTCAGAAACTAGACAGAAGACCAAAGACAATAGCCAGACCTGAGTTGACAAACAGAACAGAGGGAAAGCATATCATGAGACAAATTGAAACCACCTCCGGGCTGACGGATGCAGGCTGGGTGAGTTATAGGTCTGAGGATGATAAACGTTTAGGGAAAAAGGTCAGAGCCCCGCAGTATAGAGGGTGGCGCTCCATCTGGCAGGACTAGTTGCCCTAACACATTAGCACTCTGGATAATAGAGTACAGATGGAGAGAAAGACAAGCATATGCGTGTTGAGTAGTGTGTGATTAGGCAGTGCATGCATTTGGTTGTATGTATCTTGGAAAAAAAGATGTTACTGTTTCGGTCCTGCCTGACCCCTACCTACCTTATTATATGGCATTTAGAATTTGGTTTAGCCTCCAAAATAAAAAAGTAAACAAATTCAGTGGTGGGAAAAATTGAGTTGCACTAATAGTTATGTTATTTTTAGATAGTAGGGGGTGAAGGGGCAGGTCCAGATATTAATAACTATTTGAAATGTCTTGCTTTTAAAAAAAAAAAGAAACATGAAGTTCAACCTTTTCCCCACACCAATAATTTTCCAACAGTCCCTTATTTGCTTTTTTTATCAAAAAATAATCAGTATGATCTTCTAATAGGATGATTTCCTTCCAAAAACTACAACATACTGAGACAAATATTTCTCAAAAGGGACTCTCACACATCATGTGTCCATACCAATGGAATCTAAACTCCCAAACTTCATCTCACATTCACAGATGTGTGGTGCACACAGCCTTCTCAGCCAGAGAGATAGACAGGTTGCTGGAGTTTCAGTGTAGTATCAGGTAGATGGTGGGGCTACTGGGCTACATATGGTGCACAGACTGCAGATGTACAGTACAGGTAGCAAGAATGTGCAGAAAACAGGTGTACTCCAAACTTTACCCTTGATACTGAAACAACCATAACATCAAGGCAACAGAGAGAGACAGACGAAAGCTGTGGGAAAGAAACTAACAGTGGGAAAGAAAGTGAGAAATCGGCTGCTCCTGTGTCAGTGCATCTGGAAGCAGTTCTCACTTGTTTTGAACTTTTCTTCTCCTCTATCTCACCCAGAGGCGTCCCACAGTTTCTGTGCTTTGTAGTAGGTCAAAATATTTTGGGGTATTTGCTATAAAAAAAAGAACTTTTGTACAGCTTTGGATCATAGGCCACCAACAGAAATATTACATGAAATGGTAAATAACTAAATCTTTATAATTAACTTCAGAGCTAAAGCTTGTTTATAAGTAATATCACAATGTTCGTTATACAGAATGTTAAAGTACATAATATGTTATACATGTTAGAATTTATTTATTATATACTTGATTGACCAACTCTCATTTCATTTCTGCCTGAAATGCATCACCTACAATATTCCCAGTGGTGCAATACTGCCCTCTACAGGAGATAAAAAATAATAAAACATGAATTGTTTTGGTGGAGTTAAAATTTATTATCACGAATCACACCACATTTGTATGCCATTACAACAGATTACCAATCACTACTTCATATAATTTAGTGTATTAATTTGCTATATGACAATACACCCTATATTAATTTATAGTACTGTAATCTTGGTTTTAAATACAATTAGTTAGGATACAATTACATACATGGATGCAGACAGTCTATTATCAGTGATTGTATTTCAGAGGTTACAGAGCAGAATGTATGTCTTTTTCAAATTTTTTTATGATCATCCAATGATCTTAAATGCACAGTGATCTCAAAGTTTTACACAATGTAGGACTATAACTCCAACTATAACTTATTGGGTATTAGTAAATCTATTGCCTGACAACAGGAACACAAGCAACTGTCTAATAAAGTGTGTAACTGTGAGTTGTGATTAAAAACAAGACTACAAACCATCTGAGTTAAAAAATCCCATATAGCATTTAGGGATGTGACTACAAAAACCCAATAGTGTGTACTTTAAATAGTTAAGGCTTTTGATATCAGGGTCATAACACAGTAGTCATGTATAATTAATTCTCTAGTGCATTCAGATATCAGAGATCAAACGTGAGAATTCGGCACTTAAGTGTTGAGTGTTCAGCAAAAAGAAAATTGCATCGCTACCATCTTATGAAAGGCATCTTTGAGGCAAATAGTAGTGTAGTTAATGGATGATGCTGACATGAAATGAAGAACATGACAAATAAAAGAGGCTATATAGTTTATGTGGAGCAGCAGCAACCTCTTAATGTTTACAGCTTTGGGATATGTTTTAAATGGAACTAGAGCTGAAATGCAAAAAGACTGTAGAGCTGCTGATTGTGCATAAAAGTGCCACAATGCTGCCATTATGTTGGATAAATAAAAGTATAACACATATTCAATGCACCTCTGTTGTATATTAGGCTAAAGAAGTGAGATTTTTCCACTTAGTGTAATGTTCTTGGCAAAACTGTGTATTAAAAGGCTATGAATGTACGTTTACCTTGTGTAAAACACTGTATAATATAATAATGAGTTGGTTTTTGGTCCATGCTGCAAAGAGAACTGACTGTCTCTAGGATGTGAGAGATGAAAAAGACAGATAGAAAGACTTCCATAAAGTGAATGAGTGAAACTGGTAAAAAGGAGTACAAAGAGGAGGAAGAAGAAGGAGAAAGGGGGGAATGGGTACAGAGGACAGACTGTGTCACATTGGTTAAATGAGGCGTGTAGGAAGAAGGTGAGATGTTTCAATGCAGGATCTCAATGAGAAGGCGTTTGAAGTCTCCACCACATTCTGAATCCAGAGCATCCTTCAGGGTAACATCGTATTTCTCCAGGTACATGTCCTTCACTGTCTCCAGGTCGATCTGTGGGTTAACAACAAAACAGTCAACACAAAATCTCTTTTCATTGCTTGTTTTTGTCTTTGAAGTGGATGCTTACATTAATTACTTTTAGACCACATTTAAGACCAACATTGGGTTTGGGTGATCTGGAATCTTCATTAACACTCAGTATGATTAGATGTTTGGTCATGCCTTTACACACACAGACTTGCCTCAGAGCGGCCTACGATGATGCGAATAAGTGTGTCTTCATCGGTGCCTATTCCCTTCATGGCAGCATTAAGACGACGAGCAAAATACAGCTGCGGGTTCTTGGCACACCTGACTATTAAACACACACACAAAGGCAGTGTTATTACAAGAACTTATACTCGATTTGATATGTCACAGCTTGTGAACAATCCTGTTGTAACCTACCCAGAGTAATGTAGCAGTCCTTCAGAGTTCCTGTTGCCTCAGAGTCAATGGTGTCCAAAATGTCTGTTCCTGAAAGCTGCAAGACAATAAGTTAAACATGAGAACCTATGATATCAACAATGAGGAGAGATCTTTTTTTTCACAGGAAGTGAGTGCAGTCCTTACCGACTCATAGACCTTAAAGGTGGCCTGAAGCTGCAGGTAGTTCCTGTGCGTCAGGATGAAGGTGAAGGTCGACTCATCCGTGCCAAATCTGCCTTCTCCTGCCTGGCAGGCACAAAAAGAGGAACTAACATTTGTATTTGTCTTAGATGTAGCAGATGTCTCTTGTTTAATTCCTATGCACCTCCTGAGAGGGACAAAAATTATTATTTTCATACTTTCTATCATCATTCCTGTTAGCAATAATACGATTGTAGTCAAGTTAATTGCTGACATTGATGTTATTGATGTATTGCTAGTAGTATAAACTCTTGTAATAAACCATAATTAACTTAAAAAGGGTATTATCATTCTTCATCATATAAAGAGGCATATAAAAATGGCTCTGAAATCTCATTATGATGTTAAGCAAGACTAGTCTGCAGCCCTGCTAGCGGCTCTGTGAAGCTGTACCTAGACACAGCGGTGCTTT